AGCCCATAACAATGCCTCCCACAAGTCCAACTGGAGACCCAGAGCCCATAACAGTATCTCACACAGGCCTGTTTCACAGATCTGTGCTGCGAAGGCCCAAGGGTCAGTGGTGGAAGCTAGAAAGTCTGTGCCAGTGGGATGAAGGACCTTTGCTAGCAAGCTGAGGGATCTGCGCTGGAGCCAGGAAGTGACGCTCAGAAGAACCAGAGCTCCCCCGAAAGGCACCACAACCATCCTCAGCAACAGTGAGGTCCCGAGTTCCCATTAGAAACGCTAACGCAGCAACCTTTTCCAAAAGACCGACAGTGCAGCATCTTCCCCTCCACAGCCAGGAAGAGATGTCCAAAGTGAGGACCAGAGCTCCCGCAAAGTGAAGCAAAGCTATTCTCAGTGCCAACATGGCCCCGAGCTCCTCACAGTTAATCAGAAAAGCCAGCATGAGGAGCTCCTCCAAAAAACCAACAGCTCCTTACAGCTTCTACCAGCTCCCAACAGCTTCGTTAGTTCCCACAAGCCTTCTTCTTCCTCAGCTTTGCCTCTTATGCCACTGGCAACAATCCTCAGGTGGGCCTCCCACACCCAGCACGTTTACTCAGTGCAGCTGGGGATTATAAATTGACCACCAGTTGTCAATCCACCAAAGTAAATAAGGAGCAAAATGGAGGGCAGATACCCGGAGGCAGGAAGAACATGTTCAAACAGGAAGGGGAACAAGGGAGGGAAGCGGGGGAAGGGAAAAGGATTAAAAAGAAAGAATGGAACGGAAAAATAGAAACAAAGCTTTTGTAAATAAGGAGGGGAAGGGGGTTGTTTTGGTTACTTTTCTCTCTTTGCTGAGACAAAATACTCAACACCCACATTTAAGGAAGGAAATATTTATTTAGCTCACGGTTTGTGGAGACTTCAGTCCATACTCGGCTGGCTCCAAGGCAGGGTGGCCGGGCAGAGGGCAACAGTTCAAGGCAGCAGAAGACAGAAAAAGCAGCAAGAGCACAAGGGGAGGAGGGGCAGCAAGCAGTTTCTTTCCCTCCCTTATACGGTATGCAGGCTACCCGTTCCAAAGTGGGTGCAGCACTCACACCCATGATCCCAGCACTGGACCATGGATCGATCATAAACTCTAGAAGCCCGCCCTGTGACTGCATGAGGCACTGGGGGGACATCCAGACACAAAGCATAACAGGGGTTGAAGATGGTAGGGAGATGGGGTGGGGGGAGAATCAAGTTGTGTCACGCACAGGTGCAAATTTCCTATGATGAATGTGATCATTGTGTTTACATAAAATGTACCAATAAATGTGATTTTTAAAGAAAACTTTGGCAAATGAGCAGCAGAAATGTTTAATGGAGGGGAGAGAAATAAAAAAAAAAGAATTAAGATGGGTTATGTACAGGAACAAATTTCCTATGACAAATGTGATCAATATATTTGACAAATATGTGCTAATAAAAATATAAAGTTCAAATAAAAAAAACATGCCACCTCTACCACACACACAATCTTCTAGTGGTGTGAATGCTTTGCCCTTGGCTGTATGGTTTTACAGGAGTTGGTATTTGCTGAGTTTTTAATTCATGATCTACTATGCCTCAAGGCTCATTTAGCAATTAAAACAACACTGAGATTCCATCTCACCCCAGAAAGAATGGCTACCATAAAAGGTCAACCAATAACAAATGTTGGAGGGGGCTGTGGGGAAAAAGGAACACTTCTCCACTGCTGGTGGGAGTGTAGACTGGTACAACCACTGTGGAAATCAGTGTGGAGACTCCTCAGTAAACTAGGATTACAGGTCCCATTTGACTCAGCTATTCCCTTTCTGGGTACCTTCCCAGAAGTATTAAAAACATCATACCACAGCATTATAAGTGCACCTACGTTTATAGCAGCAGAATTTCTAATAGCTAAATTTTAGAAACAACCCAAATGCTCATCAATTGAGGAATGGATAAAAAAAAGATGTGGTATTTTTATATAATGGAGTACTTCTCAGTCATAAAGAAGGATAAACTTGAGACTTTTACAGGTAAATGGATGCAACTTGAGACCGTCCTCATAAATGAAATAAATCAGACTCACATGTGTAAACATATTATCTCCCTGGTATGAGAAAGTGAGAGAGTAAAAAAAGTCTAAAATGTACAATACATATTGTGAAATGGGAAGAAACTGTTCAAAATGAAAAACAAACTACATTAGGGAAAAGGGGAAAGAAGGGAAAAAGAAAAAAATGCAAGTTAATTATACTAATGTCTCAGTTCTTTGAAAAGGAAGGTTCACGCTAGTATTGAGTGGAGAATTCTTTATGTCCATATCTTGTACTCAGAGTAATTAAAGATAACAATATGCAATGTATTGTTATTGTATTATTTTGTTATGAAATTGTTTTCATTTTTTCTCACACAGTAAAAAATGAGTCATTTAGCTTGTTTGATTTAAAGAACTGAAATCTACAAACCCAAGCTGAACTCACAAGTCTTCCTTTTTTCAGTGAGCAGGGAATGGTGAGAGAACACATGACTTTGTTCTGAAATGACGCTCAGGCTCCAGGGTGGTGAGTGGTGGTTATCATTTATCACCAGCAATCTTCATTTTAAGCTAATGTTTAATGACAACTTAGTATGTGAATAGACACCATACCCCGTGCTGGACAGGTATTATCTTATTTCTTTCTATAACTTTCTACAGTAGATGAGAAAGCAGGCTTAAAGACGCCAAAGTGATTGCTCAGTGTCCCAGGGCTACCAGCAGGGTTACGGGAGGCAAAGCTCGTGCTCTTAACCATTACATATTTCCTCTCTTTGGATTTACAAACAAGAGGAGCCTCTACATTTTCTATGATGTATCAGCTTTGCAGTGCCTTCAGGTGCGCATTCATTTTGTTTTTATGCTCCTGTGGTCATTAGCCTCTTCCTAAAGGTTACACACCAGGCCTACTGTGCTCTCAACATGCAAAGCCCTGTATGTACAGCTAAGGTTAAAGGAATCCAAGCCAATGGTATAATCAGTACTTCAGATACCAATCTTGGGAGTGCTAGGAGGTGCATGTACTGTCTCTCTGTGCTGACACCACTTAATCTTGTAATGCGCCTGGCCTCAGGCTTTTGGGTGAGCAACTACGGATCTGTAATAGGAAGCTTTCTTCTTTTCTTCACTCACCTGAAAAGCACTCATGAATCCCACTATTCAAAAACTTCTCTCCAGGGCCAAGTGTGGTGGCACCTGCTTGTAATCTCAGCCCCTGGGAGGCTGAGGCAGGAGGACTGCCATGAGTCTGAGACCAGCCTTGGCTATATAGTGAGTTCAAGGCCAGCCTGAATGGTACAGTGAGAGTTTGTCTCAAAACAATGAACAAATCCCAAAATATCTCTCCATTCCCACCAACTCAACCTATCCCATTTTTTCATTCCCTAATCAGATGCATTCTGGAAAAGACACAAGCAGCTGCCTTAAATCAAGAATATCAGACTGTGGGCACTAAAAACACCACCGCCTCCAGCACCACTTCCATTGCCACTGGAAGAGAAGCCACTGCTGACCAAGTGGCATCGCGTGTCGGGACCCAGGGCCACATGTTTCACCTACGTCATCTCTCAACTTCACAAGGGAATAAAAATGCAGGTACCATTACCCTCCTTTTGTGGCTAAAGAAAGTTAAGCTTAGATAAGCTGTGAAAGAAGATCTGGATTCCAGATCTTCTCGAAGAAATGAGTATAAAGTTCATTCTTATTATTGGTAAGTAGACGTCCAGAAGTCACGATGAAGTACATTCTCAAAATGAAGACTAGTGTCTGATCTACAACTGGTATTGGTACCTCTGCAGTAACTCAGGACTATTCTCTGACCTGGGAAGACTCATGGGGGATTCCACACAGCAGCAAGCTGCATTAGAGATTTAAACTGTGCCAACACAAAATCCCTCTTAGCTATCACTCTCACTCTCTACTTTTGATTTCACGATGGCATCCATCAAAAACTTCCGTTAAACAGGGACTTAACACCTATTTACAGTGTAAAACTGTGCACAGCATCCCAGCATTCAGCGTTGGCAGTACCCTGCGGGTCACAGCAGCTGCTCGGCTTTCCTTCTCCCAGCAGACGGCTTGGTTCTCTTCATGCTATTTCTGGGGAGGGAGAACTGACGCCATTTGTAACACAATGAGACCAAATCCTTTGTGCGAGATTGTTAGAAAACACAGGCAGCTGTCATGTCGGGGCTCGGCTACCTGGAAAACAAACAGCTGTGCACGAAACCAGTAGCGCCTACCTGGACGGTGCTGTCATGGTAGGTAACGTAACTGCACACCACGAACAGCCAGAAAGAACAGCAATCTCAGTGTTTTATTTTGACATAATTTTATACTTATGGAAACACTGGCAGAGTAATTCAAAGAACCACTGACTTTTTATTCAGATTTACCAATTATTACATTTGATTCCATTTGCTTTACCACATGTCCTCTTTCCTGAGCCATTGGAGAGTACTTTACTGACATCTTGTCTCTTTATTCATAAATATGTCAGTGTTATTTCCCCAAAACAAGGGTTTTTGGGGTAATGAATTTTTTTTAAAATATCAAAGTGCAAAGTTAACATAAAACCATCAGAACAAATGAAAAAAAAATCACCATAAAGACAACCACTCCGCATTCATGGATGAGGATAAGGAAACTGTCCTCACTGCTCCCTAGAGAGGAATGTTTTGTCCACCGTGCTGTTCTCAGGTATCACCACGTGCCTGGTACACAGAGCGCACTCACAGAGTACAAGGGAACTCCATGGCCTGTGCTAAGATGCTGCACCACCACATTGCAAAACAGAGCGCTTCTACAATAAAGCAAACGCAGCCAGGTGTGGTGGCTCATGCCTGTGATCAGGAGGCTGAGGCAGAAATACCACTCAAGTTCAAGGCCAGCCTGAACTACACCGGGAGATCCTGTCTTAAAAAAAACCAAATAATTGAATGAATGAATAAATAAATAAGTAACGCAAACACAATGACAGCAACGTATTCAGTTATTTATTGTATTTAATAATTTGTGAGGTACAGAAGGAGGAAAAAGTCTCCGATGCAAAGGACTCTGGAAAATTCCCTCTTGCAGATGAGACAGAAAGGACAGTACCTTACGCCAGCGTGACCTCCTTGGTCCTCTGAGGGCGCGTGGCCCCGCACTCTCTCACAGGTAGCGATTCCTGATGTACTCCCGGTACATGCAAGTGTCCTCCTTTCCGAGGGGCTGCATGATCCCCTGGCTGGCCTGGATGTGGGCCTGGAAGATCTCGGTAGACTTCCTGTCTACTCTGGGCGGCTGAACCTCGTAGATGTTGTCTTGTGAGAAAGCCGAGATGGGTGTCCTACGAGAGAAGCAAGAAGGGAGCACACAAAGGACGGCAAGTGAGGGGCCCGGGGAGTTTGCTCCCCAAAACACACGACCCTGAGCGAGCCAGTGGCAGGAAAAACCTCTGCAGTTCCCCCGGGTGATTTCCCCTCGGCCGGGGCCTTGGGTTCTTATCATAGGTCAACAGGGGCCTCCTCCTGCTTCCCCGGAACCGCTTCCTTGTCACCCGTGGTGGAGGGCAACGCCAGTTACAAACCCTGTGCCTGCCCGTGCCGAGGTCAGCCTCGAACACTTGCAGAGGGGATGGCAGGGGGCTCAGCGCTCCAACATCACCTTACTGCAGCTTCCGGACAATCAGCAAACTATTCCTTTTGTCTTTTTAATTATTCTAGACACAAAGTCTACACTAAACAATAAAAACGTGAAGTTAATACAGTGTTGCAAGTAGATTTTGGCTGGAGGGAAGCTTAACACATTCTCAGTATTCGCTCAGTCAGAAAAAGGAGCGGCAGAGATGGACTCACAGAGACACTCTATCATCAGCAAGCCAGTCACTCGGAGCCCCTCGCGGTTGTAAGGCAGCTTCTCAAAGCGCGGGCCTGCAGCAGGCGCATCGGCAGGGCTGGGCCTTGTGGGAACCGCTCACCCTCCGCTCCAGGTGTACGGAGGCAGATCGCAGAGGGGCAGGCCCAGCAGAGGTGTGTTAACAAAAGAGCACATTTAACCTTTTATTTGGTACTAGGGATCGAACTCAGGACATTGCGCTTGCCAGGCAGGCGCTTGTGCCACTGAGCTACATTCCGGCCCAAGAAGAGCAAAATTAAAGGCCGGTGACAGGAAGCACAGAGACAGATCTTTCTCAAAGGAGAGGGATCAAGAGATGGAGGGAGGGAGGAGCGCGAAGGGGAATAATAAAAGAATGAAGATGTGTTATGTACACGGACCACCCGCCCCAGGAAGGGGTACGCTGTGTCCTACACACATGCACTAATAAAAAGAAACAAAACGAAGCAAAGTAAGACAAAACATCCCAGAAAACAAATCTTCCAGCGGATCCTGACACTCACTGAAGCTAGCCAGCCTCTGGTCTAAGACACACACAGCTAGAGGTGTGAGTGGGGTACGTAAAATGCTAAATAAGATCTTACAAGGTCAGCGCAGCTGTGCCGCACACTGAAAGCACGAACTTCCTTTTTAAGTGAGAGCGCACTACCGCTCCTATACCACAATGGCATAATTCAACAACTGCAAAGGTAAGAGCAGTGATACCGGCCTCAGCACACATTACCTACCACAGGGACACTCGATTTCCCTGCTGACTACACATTCCAGAGCGGGAAAGAAACAGAGCTGCATCCAAGACCCACAGGGGTTTCTGCTCTGTCTCTGAGGGCACTGGACAGTGGAGGTGGTAAACCCAGCAGTGCTTCCAATACTGCGTGGAAGTCTTGTCATCAGCTTTGAGGGCATCGCTTCTGAGTGAAAAGACCAGTATTTAAACACTGAATGATGCAGATATTCGAGACTATTTTCTTTTATTCATTTCAAAGGACAGAGCTGGCTTACAGTTGCCATTTCATAGAGACATATATGTTATTTCCACCTTTCTCTCTTGTCCATAAACAGAAGGACCACTTTTCACAGCTCCTAAAGGGAACAGACCCGCTACTCCCCAGTCAAAACCATACTCTTTTTGGTGATAAAGCATTACAATTGCAACACTGCAGGCTCACTTCTTTCTTTCCTTTTTTTGGTACTGGGAATTGAACTCAGGACCTTGCACTTGCCAGGCTCATCTCTTTTTATCTATAAAACCTAGGTCCATCTTCAAGGAGAGCCCTGTGCCTCCCCGCAAGGACTGCTACCGTCTCACTTAGGGTAGCATACCTGCCACCTAATTTATGCTTAACACACGCTGCTCAGTGGCTCTGACGCTGAGCGCTGACGGCCAGGGGTCTTAACTGCACTTCCCACGCACACAGGAAAAGCCCTTGGGCAGAAATCACTCCACACACCACATGGTCTCAAAGAAAATCCTGAGCCGGGTATGGTGGCACACACCCGCACTCAGGAGGCAGAGGCAGGAGGATCACTACAGATACAAGGCCAGCATGGGTTACACAGTGAGTTCGCGGCCAACTTGCACTACAAAGTGAGACTCAAAAAAAAGAAAAAAGGGAAATGTGTATTGGTGGCCTTAAATGTGGTATTACTCACTTGACTGGTTACACTATGATCATTTCTGATAATAACTGATCTTATACTTAGATGCAGAACTGATGTTTGTGTCATTTCACAGTTCAACTCCTGCTGAGACTTTCTTTGACTTATACATAGTGAATAACCAAGAAATACATGTTGATTTGGCAAGGAAACATGATGGTCTAAAGATGTGTCTGGCGTTTAGTAATGTCACAATCATTTGTCATTGGTGACTGAGATACTAGACAATATTGGTATAATTTCCAACAACTTTATATATGTGATACTTTCTGTATGTTAAAATCTTCAGCTTCTTCTCTAATTAGTACTTTGGCATACATGAAACCACACTTAGCATTTCCAGATGATATGGTAATCGTTCTAGTCACGGAACACATCTCCTTTCTCTATGACTCTTTCTGGTGCTACCACAAGCTCCAAGTCTTCCCCCTCAAAGCTTCCCCCTCAAAGCTGTGGTATTTACATCACCGAGTGATGCTTTGTTGGCCATGACTGAGTCACAGAATCAAGGGGATGTTAGAGTGGCAGAGGACCTTACAGAAGACCTTGACCCGAAAGCTCACTGCAGACAATGATCACCACTCGGTCATCTTTCACAATTTCTTCTATCTTCTGAGAAACCCACAATTAGGGAAAAACTGTAATTTTGCTCCTCTAAGACATTCTGGTCCTAATACAGCAAAACCTCAGAAGGCCTTAGTAGTATTATTTTGTCTTTCCGCTGGTCTTATAATTTCTGTAAGGAAAGAACAGCCCTTCTCACCTAAGCTGGTGGTACAGGGCTCGACATACACTGCCATGAAATGACTCTCTCTCTGCCCTGCAATGTCGCTGGGTGGCGTCAGCCCTGAGTTTGTGGGTGCTGTTCTAACACTGTTGCAGTCACCATCCATTGCTTCTCTCATTAGATTGTTTGTTTCTTTCCAAGCAGGTACTCGTACCTTGAAGTCTAGTCTGGAGTCTGTCTATTAGTGAAGATCGTATAGTCAGAATGTGTTTGCTCCTTCCTGGTAAAAATGAAGCTGCTACTGCACGTTACCCACATTCTCTGAAGCAGTACATGGAGCGACACCTGAGTCCAAAACGGAGCTCTCAGATTACACTTGTCCTGGGTAGGACTCTAGAGCCACCTGTGGCTACATTTAAATTAATTAAAATCAAGTAAATCTACAAATAGCTCAGTCGCCCTAGCCGTATGTCAAGTCCCTGACAGCCGCACGTGCCACGGGTACTGTGCTGTACAGTGTGACGCGGCACATTTCCATCGCCATGGAGAGTTCTGCTGGACAGCACTGTTCTGTAATGTCTTTCCAGTTACGTTCTCCCTCAGAAATTCTTGGCGCTTTTGTCCGAGACCACTGCCCTGCTACAGCGTCCGGCCTTACTCAATGCTTTCCGTTGCTAGGCATCTCCTGTCTTTCCTGGTTGCCCATCACGGTTCATGAGCCTGAATCACGTGTCTGGTGGGCCTTGCCTTTTAGTTGCCAGCTTTCTAGATAACAAAATGTTACTATTATCCTCTAAGGTGTCAGATTTCTTACAAACTTAGCACTTTAAACACCCTTGAATTTCACTGCACTGGGATTCTCCTTCTTCTTGAAGCTCCAATTGTTCTATCTTGTCCAACGGGAGCCACTTCAAGTTCACGCCTGAATCCTCTTGACAGGGCCCTCATGATCTGACAGCCTTCTTGCTACCCAGACTGACAAGTTCCAGGAGAATTCTGTACACCTTCCGACACACACCTGGAACCAGCCACCTATCCCAGAAGCTCAGGTTCCTATCAGTAGAAAACTGGTATTTTAAAATTACAATGTGGGCAATGGGAATTCTTAGCAATTCCTAAGAGTCATTATTAGGCCACTGCATGTGTATGTGTGGGTACATGAGTGTGTCTGTATTTGCTCCTGGAAGAAATAAGGAGAATCTTATTTCTCAAAGACAAAGAGGATGACAGAATTAAAATAACCCATGACTATTTATTTGCCTTATCCCGTACTAAACATACGACACCTCCAGAATAACAAGTGCCGCCATTGATGATTCCTGAAAGCAGATTTTATGTTTGCATATTTCCGTGTGTACTGCACACTCTCCTCACCATCTAATTTGTCAGAGTTGTACTGCATTACACACTGTGAGCACAGAGATACAGCATTTTCTCTTCCCCTTCTAACACTCAGTGAGTTCTATAGGTAACTGTACAGTTTACAGTTCATGCTGGACCCACCCCAATGGATGTATTAGTCAGTTTTCTGCCACTGGGACAAATACCTGAGATAACCACCTAATAAAGAAAGGAGAGCATGAGAGCCTTGCCCCGAAAGGGAGACACCATCAATCTCACATCACCCGCCCTCTGGGCCCAGCAGGCCCTTCCACTGGGCTCCCTCTCCCTGCAATGGTCATGGGTTTGTTAGAAACAAGAGAACGGGGACATGCTAAAAAAGTGGGGTACACTTCCTTTTTGTCCCTTTGGAACAAAGAAACAGGAGCAGGAAGAGGGCAGGTATGGAAGAAACAGAATGGAGGAAAAATTGAGGTGCTCCAGGATGGAGGGAAAAGAAGACGGTGAAAGCCTGAGTGGTGTTGGGGGCATTCCAGGGCGTTCGGAGGGAGCGCCTGGACACTCTGGTAGGAACGGGTGGGGTGGGGGTGAGGCTCAGTAAGTTTCAACAAGTATCTACTGAGCACTAAATGTCAGGTCTGTTCTGGGGACAGCAGGAGACACAAGAGGACTTCCCTGTAGAAATGAGTATCCCGGCGGGAATGCAGTAATTCCAATCTCAGCAGCACTGCTCTGGAGGTGCCTAACGACCTCTACACCACAGAACCAAGCCGATCAAGCAAAGCACACCTGCCCAGGAAGCTTTAGTCTGACCACATCAGGGGTAGTATGTAAGGCACTGGGGTAAGAACAAATTGTATAAAAACATTCAAGATCATAGAGCAGAGACACAGGCAGGTATCTACAAATACAGACCATGTCAGAGGACCAAAGGAGGGGCTGTTAATGCTAGTAATCTGCCCACGGGTTAGAAGAGCAGTGGGTAATGCAAGCCAGAGAGCACGGGCCCTGGAGGAGCATTTGGGTTTGAATTCCTGGTTTCTCCATTTGCCATCTGAGCCTGGAAAACTTATGGAAGTTCTCTGTGCTTCAGTTTGCCACCTATAAAGTAATTAGTAAGAACTACTCCTTGGGGTTATTTTGGGAATTGAGTTAACACAGATTAAAGTATATAAACAGTATCCATCACACGCTGTTTTGTAAATGCTGGCTGAGGTCGTTCCTCCCAGACCACTCCCCATACACTCTGGGGTGGTCCGGGTTCCGCTTAGGGTGACTCAGACCAAACACAGCTTTGCGACTGGGCGCTGATGGTGCAGACAATGGGCCGGCTGTGGGTCTCACATCTGCTTCGGGGCAATGTCTTGCAAGCCTGTGGGCAGAAGTGCCCAATTTCTCTGCCCAGGTCTCTGTACCCCTAATTCAGATCCATGTGCCATGGGCTTCTTCGCAGTCATTTAGCCTCAACCGTTTTGATATTTGTGGTGGAAATACCTCCTATTTAGAAAAGGAAAACTGGTATACCTCACGATTTCAAGAAAAATTAGTAACTCAAACAGAGATGAATAGATACAGATGCATATGAACTTAAAATAGGATTCTTACCATTTTCAAATATGCTAGAACCTGAAATATAGGAAGAGAACTTCAAGAATCTCATAATAACCTAATTTCTGTTGGTTTGGGTGTAACTTCAGAAATCTAAACAGCAATAGCTGCTATTTTAAAAACAGAGTTCTTATTTAAAGGGCGTATGTGTACATATGTGCATGGGCTCACGTGCGCACGCACACCTCCCCCCAAAGACACTTCAGGCATTTGCTATGGCCCCGTGAGACAGAGCTCTCACCACGCTTTTTGTTATCCTGCTAGAAGAGAAAGTTTAAAATAATTCTAGATCCTTGTGGTTTTCGTTTATACTAAGAACTCAGGGAAGCAAATACTAAATATTGCAAGAGAAAGAATGAGGAAGTATTAACTCTAAGACCAGTTACAGATCAAAGTGGAAAGACGTTGAAGGAACCTGGGGAAGTGTTTTATTTTTCTTTCATCACCGGCAATAAGTTGTCCCACACTATTTTAACAGAGTGATCCCTTACTTAACACAATCTGGCACCCAGATTCTCACCCCACTAACACATTTAAACACTTTCCTTCTTTGGCTGCGTCGCTTTCAACTCGCTTGGGAGCCCGTACTTCCACATGACAGTTGTAACAAAGAAAATGACCTTGAAGTTAAAAGGAGTTTATATGCCAAACAAGAGGGGAAAAAAGAGAGAAAGAAACAGTGAGAGGGGAGGAAGCCAGGAGCTCGCGCGGCCTCACTCTCCGTGCACCTGTGCGCTTAGCCATCTTGGTCTTCCCTGCCGCTGTCTCCCGTCCTACAGCTTGGCCCTCCGCCAGGGTGAGCGACGCAGTCTCCCGCTGGTCCCTGCTCTTAGGCTGCCTCACCCTTACCAGTGGGCATGCGCGTCCTCCCGGTTCTCGCGCTCTTCTGAGCTCCGCGTCAGTCCAACCACTTCCCAAGCCTTACCCTCTGACGCTACTCTGCAGACACGCGGAGCCCTCTGCAGTGCGCTCCGCCGCAGGCAGCGGCAGCTCTGCGTGCCCGACACAGACGCGTGGGCGCCTCGCTGCCGAAGGGCACAGGTGCGGAGGACTCAGTCACGCCTGTCCTACCAACCATGGGCCACACGATCGCCGCTGATGCCCTCCATGAGTCAGGCTCCAAGTCCTGTTCATTTTGCCTCTGAAGTATTTTTCAAACCCATTCCATTGTTAAAAGCCTCACAGCCCCTACTTGGATTGCTACAACAGCCTCTGAGCAATCAATCAGGAATAGAGATACAGGACACCAAGGAGCTAGGCAATCAGTACCTATCACATACGTAATCCACTAGCCAACTCATAAAGTTGGTCTAAACAAAAGAGAAATAGGCCGGGGACACAGCTCAGTGGCCCAGCACCTACCTGGTAAGCGTGAGGTCCTGAGTGCCAGTCCTAGTACCAAAAAAGAAAGAGAAACATTTCCTGTCCACTATGTGCCCGACACTGATCTAGACCCCTCACACGTACCATCACACTGAATCTCCACAGTGACCCATTTTATGGCAGAAACTCAACTGGGTATTTGACCAGGGTCCCTCTCCAGGTCACAGCCTTTAACTATGTTTGGTCCCAATAAGCAGAACAACCTTAAATATGAATACGGTAATGATCACAACTTAGTGAGAATGCTGTCCAAAGAACGTTGGGTACATTGTTTCACTTGAGTCTCCACCTTCCTTTGAGGTAAGTGCTGCTGTTATACCCTTCTGCAGATGGGGAAACTAGGTGAAACAGCACTTACGGCATTGCTGTGTAACAAACCAGGAAGTGGCACGACCTGAACACAGTTGTGTTTGTTTAAGAACTTACTAAGCACCAGTTTAACCTGTAGCAAGTTAACAGAACTTATGGGGACATGTAGCTAGAAGAGATCAACCTATCCTTGCCTCAAGGGTCTTGTACTAAAGTTGTTTCCAGGGTCACAGCTGCTTCATCAGCCCACCTCCACTCCGTGGAGGGTGAAGTTCATAGGAGGAAGTCTCTGCCAATGCCAGTCTCAGCTCCAAAGGGCATACTTCAAGTCCAGTTCAGGCTGCCGTCCTTCCCCCATGTCCCCAAAGACCTACCTGTCCTTGAATAAGGTACCAGGAAGAAATGCTTTAGTATACCTGCTAACTTGTTGAACAGAATGCATGGTTTTCTTAAAAAGTCATGAAAAAGCACTAAGAATAGCATCAGTGCAAACGTTTTCTTAAAGGTCTAACCTAGTACTTACAATTTTATAACCCCATCAGAGCACCTGGAACAGAGCTGCTGGCTGCTTCTGTCTTGTTTATGCTGACTCTGCCCCAGCTGTACAAATCTACAAATTACAAGAGACACAGTAAGTTACAGGAGTACCTGCAGTTAACTCAGGAGCTCACACAAAATGCTGTACACTTCCAAATGAGACACCTTGATTATTTCAGCAAAGCACGGAGGAGTATCCTACCTAACCCAAGACTGCTGGAATTTATAATGTGTTTGATAGAATAAAAGAGATGACATTCTGCTCAACATGTAAGTCACTGCCATGGATATAAGAATGAAACCACATGTATACTTTATTGTATCTCCACTTACTTAAACGTGATGCAAACCTTGAAAGGAAATGTTCCTAAGGGCAGGCAGATGACCCCGTAGGACTTCTCACATCTAAGTGTGATACCACCTAACGCATGGGGTGCAGGGAGCACGGGGAGAGGCTTGAAGTGACACAGACACCACGGAAATGGTGAGATATGGCTAGGAATCCACCTCCTAAAGCTGGGATGCTGCTGAGAACCTGGGACACAGACTCAATCTCCTCAGGACGATAAGGACCAACCCTGCTCCCAAGTACACGCCAGTCCCGCCTAAGGGTGGATGTCCAACCAAGATGCCAAGATGGGGGCACCAGCTGATGACACCACTGCCCCACCTCCCCTCTGGGCAGCACAGACCCAGGCCTTAGGCGAAGAGCCACGCACACTGGCCCTACCTCTGGAGCTCTGCCCATGCCACACGTCTGTCCCTCAGGGACACGGGTTCGTGCCCATGGGAGGTTTCAGCACAGGATAAAAGGGCAGGTTTATTTTCTATTTTTCTACTATTTAAAAGATACTTCTTTGATGACTATGAATAATCTATCATTTATCTTTCATAAGCTTTTCAAAGGTCAAGACAAGAGCCTCAGAAGCTGCCAATTAAGCCATCATTACAGTATTATTACAAAACTTTCATAGAGCTTTCATCATGCTTTTATATTTAGCGAGAGAAAAATTCTGATCCATTTTTTGAGCGGAATATTGTAACATCAGTGATCTGCGCAGACCTTTACACTTCCCAAATCAAGTACATAATCAGGGTCAGAATTTTAAAAATGCTACGGGTATATGAGGCTTTAGGAGGTAAGCAGAAAGTGTCAGATCTGGTCAAGCTAGCAAATCTAGCACTGGAAAAGATGAGGAAACAGGAAGACACAGAGAACGGGGCTTAGAGGTTTGAACGAAACCGCAGCACTGAGAAAGGCTCGGGAGCCTGGAGGTGGGTGAGGCCCGGTACAGAAAAACAGGCAGCAGCACAGGAAGCTGGAAGACGGGCCATGGAGACCGAATCCGGCTGTGGAAGCACGCCCTCCCCACAGCGTGCTGTGGCAGCCCATGGGAGCTTGGTCTGTAAGCAGCCAGAGCACTATTTGGTCACCAACTGCCAGCCAGATGCTTACAGAACTGGGGTGGGCGGGGGACCAGCCTGCTCAGGGAGAACTGCCCAGGCCCCTCTGTAACTGCTGGACCACGGGAGGCACGAAGACAGCACCAGTGCCCAGCTGCGGGAGTGGGTGCCAGGCAGTCCCTAAACATCCCTGGGCCGCCCCTAACTAACACAGAGGCTGACAGAGGGAGGCTTCCTCTTGCCTACAGCGATGCCCACCTCTGAGCAGCAGCCTCTGGGCACGAGGCCCTTTAACCCCTAACACAAATCAGTGTTCTGGATTCTGGGCTCTGAAAACCTCCCATCATGTTCTAAGTAGAAGTGATTTCCTTTTGCATAAGTGACTATTCTCATTTAAAAAAAATCAATATGCTACTATAATAATAAATGTTCATATTTTCCCTTCTACATATGGAAGTATCATACCTTGAATAAATAGAGTAATCTTCTTCTGAAAGGCCATCTGAGAGGTTAATTCCATAAACCTCTTTCATGGGCTGGACCATATTCTGATGTTTAAGAAAAAGGAACCAGTTAGAGTTTTTAGACAGCTAGCATATTAATAATTTCCGAAGATGAAGAAAACGAGCCTAGGAATTCTTCCACAAAAGCAATCACAACGTTCCTTCAGCCTGTTCATTAAGCTTCTCAGTGTTTTGTTTTGTTTTTTTTAACCTGACTTTCATTTCCTACTAAAATACATCAGGGTAAAAAAGTCCTGTTAAGTAATTATAAGTTGCTTTTGTATAGTGCAGGAGCTGGAAGCTTTTCTACAAAGACCAGATGGTAAATATTTCAGGCACTCTAGGCTCCGTCTTATCTGACACACTGCCCATCTCTCAGAAGCAGCTGCGTACAGTAGGTAGACAGGGAGGCACGGCTGCTTCCAATAAAACCTTATTCACAGAAGCAAACAGTAGGTGGGATTCGGCTGATCACGGTTTGTCAACTTCTTCAGTAATGGTTCCGTTCTTATGGTATCATGTTTTATTTGCCTCACCTATCTCCAACTTTTAGCTATTTCTAGAAAGCAGATTACCGTAAACTGGATTTGCTTCTTTTGTTTACTTCCACTTGCTTTCCTTGAATATGTCAGTGATACTGAACAGAACTGAAGACTGAAGTGAATTTCCTATTTGGCCTGTTCAGGGGCTGCACAACCCTGTACCCAGCTGTGCGGAACAAGGGGATAAATGAGTCTGGTGAGTGCGGTGCTCAGAGACCGCCAGGTTCCCTTACAAATGCTGAAGCGTAGGCAACTCGTCGTTATACAAAGGAGCAAAGTACCCATCGTCCTTCAAAGCAGAGCCTTTCAATCCTGCGCCAAGCACAGCCACGCTCCGCAGTGCCTCAGGCTCCAGGCAGGGAGGAGACAACCCGGCGTTCCTTTCTCCCGCGAGCTTCCCTTCCCGCACCTCGGTCACTTTGGCCCCGTCTCCCGCATCGGTCATCTTCACGGGGGTGGAGCGCTGAGACACCGAGCCCTCCTCCTCGCGGTCGGTCCCGGAGTCATCCTCTGAGCTGCTGGACACGGCCTCCTCGCTGGGGGGCGGCGGCGCGCTGGCTGCTGTTTTCCGCTGCAACACGGCTTCCTCCCTATTGCTTTTGTTTCTTTAAAAAGACAAACGTGGATGTGAAGCATCCTCACACCGAGCCTGGACACTCGTCAACGGTCACTCCGCCCCAACCCCGACTCGAGTGTCGCTAAGAAAGCCACGGGGAAAGCTGGTTTCTCATTCACGTGTGCGGGCGGGAGACCGCAGCGTCTCCGCACACATGTCCTGATCTCAGGGGTAAGCCCTGTTACAAATTCAGAAAGTGACCCACAGTGTACTCGCAGAGTGCGGCAGTCTCCTTACTGGCTACTGCTGACTTCCTCTGCTATCTGAACTCAGTGTTTTCAAGTCTGATGTATAATAACAGAATTAGTAAAATGACCTACAACTTGTGAAACCTTCAAGACAAACGTCAAGGGCCAAACGCATGCGCGATCCCCTCCCTCCTATGAATTTTTATCATAGTATACGACAATATAAATCAACTGATGAACGTAAATTTTCAAATTTATTGTGCTATTAGCAAACAAGTACATTTGCTGCATACCCAATAACAGAGAAGAGGGAGGGTGAATAATCCCTGCAGAGCTGAGTGTGTTGGCGCACACCTGTAATCCCAGCACTGGGAAGCCTGAGGCAGGAGGATCACTAGGAGTTCAAGGCCTGCCTGGGCTAAGTAGTGAGTTCAAGACCAGCCTGAACTACATAGTGAGACCCTGTCTGAAACAAACAAACAAACAAACAAACAAAACCAAACAACAAAAAAGAAAAATCTATCTATACTTACAGAATTTACTTTTTAGGGTCAAATTTGAATAAAAATATTTGTAGCTTTTTATATTCAGAAAGTATTACATAGTAATACTTGTGCCTTTTATAGAAATATTTAATATTCATCTTTACCTGAAACAAAATTCTCTTTAGGAGACTAAAACATTCTAATATTCTGAAATGTTGTAGGAAAGGGAAAAGCAGTATTATCTGACCATGGGTTATATAATGTAGAAAAAGATTAGTTGCTGACCTTTTGCAACTGAAAATTAAACTCAGCAGAATTTCTGTGCTATACATTTATATAGCTGGTTGTTTCCTTATTGGTCCTGGGAACTCAAATTCTAAACTCTTGAGGACTTTCCATCTTTTAAATGCTTCTCAACACCTAGTCAGGGCTTAACATAAAGCTGTTCAAGAGCAAGTAAGCAAGCCATAGAATGGTGTGTCTGGAAAATACCAGTATATACCACTGTACGAATTACATGTAGCTAGACTCCAATTAAGACTGCATGCACATTTCCAAATACAGTTAGGATTGTGTATCTAAAGTCTAGCCAAGGCCTCTGGTCAGAGACTAGAAGAAATATTACCATCAGGACCAGGCAGGTCAGGGAGCAGAAAGATTCTTATGTTGGAGCACTACACATTTCACTCCAGTCTAGAAGCATGAAGACGCAAACACAGTGCGTACTCTTAATATTACCAGATACAAAAAGTAAGTCTACTACGTTCTCTGTGAGAGTGTATTTGCTTTTACATTCTTGGGGGTGTCAGCAAAAAGTAAATACAATGAGTATAAAATTTTACATATTCTATGTTGAGAAACGAAGAATGTAGACTTAGTTACAGACATGAAACAGTATCTATTTCCCGTCTTTACGCCATTTGTTATATTCTCAATTTAAAATAAAATACACCACATTGCTGAAATTTCCATACATTCTACTTTCAATACTGGACACTTCAATCACGCAGTGCTATAAAGGAACTATCCACATACAGACAATAAATGCACTGTGCCACAAACTGTGTGACTTGTTAGTTTCCGGTAGAAATACTACTGCAAGTGCTACTGTTTTGCGTCAGTATTTATAATTCCATTCTGTACGCAAATCTTACCCCAATACTGATTTTCCAGTTTCATCTGGTTTCCGCACAGTGAAGGGACTTGGATCGATGCCAACAGTCTTGGGCATACCGTCACTAGGAAGAGGGAAAAAGCACAGTACCACGTGAGTCACTGTCCATCCCACGCTATTGCCTTCTGTCTTAATTTGCACTTGTAGTACTCCTTTTTAACCCTCAGTGACATGCGTTCTCAGCCAAATGTTAGAGAAGTGATCCAGGCCATAAAAACCCATGAGCTGACTACGCTAGGTAACTTTAGTGTTCAGTCCTCACTGTAAATTCACTGATTGTGGGGCCCAGTACTTTTGAATGTAAGGCTTTGTTTAGTCAAACAGTGTTGATAATTTCAGCTATAGCTAAGATATTATCATCTGGTTATATTCACAATTAGTGGGCAGGTCAAACTAAACTCACAAAATCTATGGCAGCACTAAGCTGTTCAACTGTATAGACAATGTTTTTAAGCTGTGCTACTGAAGGAGACAGATGTAATGATCAGAACAAGGTAGTATGAATTCAAAAGTCAGTATCTGATATCATGTACAGATACAAATTCCCTATGATGAATGTGATCATTATGTGTATCCAAAATGGACCAATAAAATTAATTTAAAAAATAGCATTACAAAAAAAAATCAGTATCTACTTGACTAGATTGAGGTTAATTCATTGAAACGCTGTTGGAACGCTCCACACAGAAGCAGATTTAATTTACCACTGACTGAGATACTAAGCTTCTTCCCCCTATGCAGGGGCTTCCTCACCACTGCCTCAGGGGGGGACCAATTTCTCAGCTGGAGCCAAGAAGGCAACAGTCCCATGAGTCCCACCAGGACTCGGGCTTTTGGCGAGGACACTGCTCCTGGCTTGTGCTTGGATGTCATGTTGCTTGAAGGGAGAGAAATTAGTCCTGAGTCTGGCTCATTGTAACTGTCTGAAAATGTTTTAATGATGTAATTGGTTTGATCTTTTTCTTTCTTTATGAACATACACAGTTGATCTTCATTATTTGCAGGTTGTGTTTGTAAACTTGCTTGCTTGCTAAAACACTCAGTCACCACGTGCGGTACTGCTGCAGTCACTCGGGGCGGGCGGGCCTCATACAGGCGAAGGCGGTGAAAAGAGCGAGTCACAACGCGTGCACTCCCCGCCGAGGGCGAGGAAGCCACACGCGGTGCCTTTTCAGCTTTCTCCATCTGAGAAGTGCCTATTCATCTCATGCCCACTGATGGACAGGGTCTTTGAACTTGGGGGCCCTGATTTTTTTCAATTCTTTATATGTTCTAGCTAGAGGTCCTTTATTTGAGGGAGAGCTGGCGGTAATTTTTTTCCACTCTATTTTTCACATTGTTTTTGTGCTTTCTGTTGGTGACCCCTGCTGCTTAAAATGGTTCCCCAACAGGGCTGAGGCTATCTAGAATTTGTGGGCACGAGCTATAATGTGCTCTCTGAAGAAAACAGGTATGTTAGACAAGCTTCATTTAGACCTAAGTTATAGCGCTCTGAAATGTTTTGTGTGTGTGTGTGTGTGTGTGTGTGTGTGTGTGTGTCTGTCCGTAGTACTAGGGATTGAACCTAGGGCCTTAACACTTAGCTATATCCCCACCTAGCACTCCCCCTTTTCATTTTTTATTTCGAAAGAGGGTCTCACTAAATTGCTAAATTCCCTACCATCAGCTTGATCTTGCAATCTTCCTGCCTGAGCCTCTCATAGTGCTGGGATTACAGGCATGCACCGCCACTCCCAGCTTGTGAGTGACAATAAATCAATAATACATATCAGATGAAAGTGTATAATACATATACATCTTAAATGCACATACACAAAACTTGTCTACACACTGATTGATAAAAATATTGTGATGAGAGCCTCACAGGAATCTAATCCTCTATTTCCTTCAGGAGAAATTATTCAGCATTCACTAATTCACCGTTTACAGGGATTTTATAGAGCATAGCTACCATAAACAAAGTTAATTATACATCTATATAAGCAGATATATATGATGTAATTTACCCCTTGCTCAATTAAAAAATTCTAGAACAAGAAGCAAAATGTGGATTTCTAGGCAGAAAAATAATAAAATATATTTGTATATTTACCATACAAAGTCTAAGCACACATATCACATGTGAAGAAAATGTAAATTACAAACAAACTTTTTGCTTTGACCAATTTTGTTATTCTGGTCCCATCATTTTTCTTAAAAGGTCTCATCAAATTCTAAAAGAGACAAAGGGAAATGAGGAACGTGCAAAGTGACAGACCAGGATGGAAAGCATCTGGAAACCACGTCCCGTGAGTTACGGAGAAAGATTACAGGATATTTACCCTGAAAAGAAGAGCACTGCTTCTGCAAATACTCAGAGGCTGTCCCACAGAGGAGGAACGAGTCTTGTCCCAAGCCTAACAGAATTACAATAGCCACCCTGTATTAACCACCTAGCTGTGCCAGTGCCGCCTCAGGTGCCTGGGGTCGTTTTTCGGGGATATGAGCACAGAAAGGCTCGGCTGAGACAGCTTTCTCAGGGTCACACAGTTAGGCAGTGGCTGATCTAAGACGCACACCTTGGCCTTTCAGTACTGAAGACAATGCTTTTCCCCCTAACTTACGTTAGCTTTCAACTTCTACATCAAGTGAAAGAAAGCCGAGCTACCCCAGTGGCAAACCAGGACCAATGGGAGGCAGACTCCAACCTCTCCGAGAAGAGGAACGACCTCTGGCTGACTAACAGGAGAAGGGGCTGCCTCCTGTGAAGCAGCAGGCCCCTCCTTGCGGGAGCTACGCAACCTGACTGCATGCCCATCCCTGAGCACGCGTGCTGAGTGGATTTCCGGTGGAGCAGGGCGTATGTACACAAGCTAGGACAACTACAGCCCCCAGATGCCTGCAGCAGGTGAGCGCTCACGACATACCGCGCAGAACTTGTCATAGCCAAGCAGAAGGTATCATCAAAACTGCTCAACTCATATGGCCGGAAGAATTCGTTGTGGATATCAATCTCCTCTTCGTATCTGTGAAACTTCTTCACTACCAACTTCTTTAAGTTCGCAGCACAGATAACTAAGGGAGAGACTGCCTGTTATCCAAAGTCTTGGGAAACGTTAGAAACATTTACAAACATTATTCTATTGTATATTACATTGGAGGGTGTTTTTTAATAAAATATTTCCTGCCTCTCTGACAAATACAATTTAACTTAAATGTGACTGAAATGTGCTTTCATACATACATTTGTATCTTTTATCACCGTGTAGATACAGGGAGAAAAAAGCTCGATTCATCCTTGTAATTGGGTCCTCACTTCCTCCCCTTTTCCCCAAAACACGTAGGAATATATAATCAGCACTAATTTTTTTTTTTGTCTTTTCTTCCGGTACCAGGAATCGAACTCATGACCTTGTGCTTGCCAGGCAGGCGCTTTGCTGCTGAGCTAAATCCCCAGCCAATCAGCACTAATTTAAAATGATGAATTAATATGTTATATTGGTTAAATGTCTGGAACATATCCAATAAATGTGTGACAAGTTTGGCTATACTAAGTATAGGCTTGCTAAGATAAAAGAAGTATAACACATCCTTCCTCTTTAAGGAGCTAAAGGACGATAAAATCCCCTATCTATTAAAATAGCAGTATAATACTGAATAGCTAATCATTTCTCACTAAATATGCCAATAAAGGTCATGCTTCCAGTTCATTTAACTGAAAAATATATATGAGTGTAAAACCTGGAAGAGAACCAGTTACCTACCTTCATCATAAGGCAGTGGTAAATGCTTTATTACCTCCGGTGTCCACCAGTAAGTATAGCTATGTAAAAAACAAAAGCAAAAAGAATAAGGATACGGTAAATGTTGGTTTCCTGCAATTCATCAGGTAAAAGGAGTTGTACTGTCCAGGTTAAGATGTTACCTCCTAGTTCAAATTATTTTTTTTCTCTTTTTAAAACATGTTTTGATACAGTGGGTCTTCAACATGTTAATTCCTTCCCAACCCTCTTCTTGTTTCAATTACATAACAGATTTACAAAAATGCCATGAATGTATCAAAGACTCCAGATGCTCGGACTTTATTCTAACTAAAAAGGAGAAGGTTAAAAGCCAGCTCTAGGACGTGACTTCTCCCAGTAACTATGCTCCTAAGTGAGCAGGGAGACCTCAACCCGCACAGTCGTATGAGCGGTTACTGTTCTCCAAGACAGGTCTAAGATCGGTGTTTTTTAGTTAAAACAGCTCAGCAAAATCATTAAGGAGAAAATCAGATCATTCCAACAAACAAGCTCCTTTAGAAAATAAAATAGGCCTTGTTAGTCTCCGACTGTAAACAGGCGTCACTGCAGCTCACAGGTGAGTGAGAGTCCAAGCAGGGAACTGCAATTATCTGCTTGCTGCTGCTGCGAGACTCATCTGCTGGAGCACAGAATCTGGAAGAGTCCTGATCCACATTCTCTGAGAGCAACAAATTCAACTGGAAATCAAACGCTGATGAAACAGATATTTTAAAAATTCTTAAGAGCTAGGAAGAGGATAACGTGAAATGGTATATCAGAACATGAACATGAACACACACACCCCAGATTTCCACAGGTTAAAAAGAGCCTACGGCCAAAAATGCCAGGAAAAGAATTTAATATAAATGAAAGCGTTCCTCTAAATAAAAACGTAGTAATTGCAATCCCGAATAATCTTCATTGTGAAGAAACGGAGCAGTGCCCAGGTGAAAGTGGCAACACAGGGACCTCTCCCAGGGACGACGGGCAGATCGACACCACAGCGAAGAGGCAGCATGAAGCCTGAAGAACTGTGAGGAGGGTACAGCGCTACGATGACAGGAAACGCCTCCAAAGTTATGCTTTCAAGAAGCGTGTGTCAAAGTCCACCACGCACAGGAATCACCTGGGAACCCCATTAAAAGACAGGTTCTGATGCAGCAGCTGGGGCCCGAGATTTTGCATTTACAAGCTGCTGGTGATGCTGAAGGACTGGCCCTCAGACCATTTTTCAGTAGCAAGGTTCCAAAAACGAAAAAGGGCAGGGAAAGGTTAAGTCTGCTGCTTGCAGAGAATTGACTCAGTTATTCAACATTTATTATAAGCACTTGTGTGTCAGCCCCGGCTGTATGCGCTGGAAGTGCCGGAGTGCACCGGGAGATAAGAAGAGAGCGACAGACAGACAGAGCACGCAGGCAGAGGGACGGAGAAAGCTCCAGGCCAGTGACGGCAAACCTTTTAGAGACCGAGTGACAACTGCAACCCAAAACCCACTTATTTATCGCAGTGTCACCCCTACAATTAAACTGAACACTGAGACTTTAGTTTAGAAAAACAGCTCCACATTAACATTTCTTGTCTTAAAAACACAACACTATGCATGCCACAGGTTCACCACCAGAGCTCGAGGCAGTCCGCAGGGGAAGCTGCTTGACTGCCCTACCCGGGCTGACTCCACTGCTCAGAGACGCTGTGGGTTAATGTAGAACAACGGGTGAGGGCTTGTTTCTTTCTTTATCATTTCTTGCTGTGTGTTCTGGGCTCACTCGCTCTCTGTCTCTCTGTTCTTGATTCTGTACTAGTATTTTTAAAAGTTTTCCTTTAATTTATTCTGTAAGGTTTTCCCCTTTGTCCTGCCCCCCTTTTTAGTCCTTCTTCTCTTTGATTTTTAGATTTTCCTCCCTCCCCTTTCGTTTTCCTGCCTCCTCTCTCCCTACCTGTGCCTGTCATGTATGTGTGTGTGTGTGTGTATCTGTATCTCTCTATATATTGATATACATATGAGAGAATATGAGCAGGGGCCTGTATATGTACATTAGAAAATAAGAATTAGCCACTGCTACAACTTAAATAGCACCACTTAGAGAGATGTAAGGGTAATTCTTGCTTGTTTGCTTTTTCCGGTACCGGGAACCGAACTCACGACCTCGCACTTGCCAGGCAGGCACTGTGCTGCTGAGCTAAATCCCCAGCCCCTGTAAAGGTTAATTCTTAATGGAACTGTGCTTAGAGGACCCGATCAAGACTGACTATAAATACGTTAGGAGGTTCTTACACTCCCACAGGCTCCCGTAACCTCTAAATGCGCTTCCACTCATCTGTATCGTTGTCCCCACCTGCACAAACACTGCGTCAAGCCCCATCAACACTAGCTCTTATCCCCCGCTGTAAAAATAATTCCAGCTAGGTCTGAGCTCCCGTCTATTTTTCTCCTATGATACTTCTCTTACCTTCCGTTCTTTCCACCAACACAGCCCGTTCCTTTTCCCTGTCCTCTGTCCTCCCCGCTTCCCTCCATATTCCAGACAAAACACAAACGGCAGTAGTATACTGTTGTCCGTAAGGATTACTGCTGAAAGAGTAAAGTTATCAAGACAGGTTTTAATGTGTATCACTGACGTATGCTTAGATCTGTTGGTGCTGTCCCAGCCAGCAGAAATTCTCTCCTTACAACATAATGACTGCGTTCAACACAACTACATTGAATAGGCTGAAGTAGTAAACGATACCTATTGACAAGTAAAGGCAATACTACATCTCTAGAAAACAGAATCAGACTTTACAGATCTTCATACCACAATAAATTTTATTTACTCTATTTGACCCTCAGCACAGAAAGAGGAGAAAAATAGGAACATGAAAAAACAATGAAAAAAACTACCTTCAAAGACCCTCAACCCTCCCAGAGCAGATCCAAGGCACCAATGGAGAGGAAATCGAACACCAAACAGCTGTGCCGTGTGAAATGATTAAAGGAGAAGCAAACAGAAACTCAGCGAGCTCAAAGATGACATAACCCAGAAGACAGCGGAACTAATTGGTCAGTGTGGTTATGTAAAAAACAAAAAATCAGAAGAGCTGACCGAATTTATTAAAAACATCAATAACAAATCTACCAAATAAATATTCTCCATATAAAGATATGAAACAGAAATCCCAGATATTAGGAATTCTATAGATTAAAAGAGCAGCAGAAATGACCAATGTGATGGCAAGCACATGATGATATACACAGAGCACCTTAAAAAGGGTAAGAGAGCAAGGAGAATTCATCTAGTATCTACTAGATGAAGACTAACCAAGGCTACTTGGAGTTGGAGAGAAATTAGAAGACAGCACACACGAAAAATCTGTTTATAGCAGAAAAAAGTTAAGTATGGGAAAAGACCTCAATGTGAGGCTGACAGAACGCCAAATAATTACAACGAGAAAAGAAGCTCTCCATGAGACTTCATAGTCAGAAATCTGAGAAGTCCAATACAAGGACAGGATCTTAAAAGCTGGCAGAGAAAAGAAAAAAGTCATTTACAAAGGAAAGCACATTAGGACTACAGCAGACTTTTTTTTTTTGGTGTTTTTCTGGTACCAGGAATCGAACTCATGACCTTGTGCTTGCCAGGCAGGAGCTGTGCCGCTGAGCTAAATCCCCAGCCCCTACAGCAGGCTTTTTCAATGGAAACTAAAGGCTAGCACAGCTTGGACTGAAGAGTTTCAACCACTAAAAGAAAACAACTTTCAATTCAGACAAACATATCCTGTAAAACTGTCTTTCAAAACTGATAAAACATGAGGATATTTCATGAAAAAGAACACGTTAAGAAATTCATGAACAGCAAACCAACACTCAAAACAAAACAAAATAAAACTCAAGAATAGTCTTGCTAGAGACAATGAAGCAAACAAAGCCAAAAAGTCTGACAGATGAATAAATCAAGCAAGGGGAGTAGTTAAACAAAATGAGAATAAAGGCATCAACACAGTATAAGAACAGAATGGGGCCAGGGATATAGCTCAGCGGCACAGTGCCTGCCTGGCAAGCGCAGGGTCCTGAGTTCAATTCCCGGTACAAAAAAAAAAAAAAAAAAAGAACAGAATGATAGGAATAAGTAAATATCTTTCTGTAATAACTTCCCATGTAAATGGCCCCAACTCCTCAATTAAAAGACACAGATTAGGAGACTGGGTCAAAAAACAAAACTCAGTGAATGATTTGTTGCATACAAGAGACACACCTAATTGAAAAGAAAGTCATACTGAAAATCAAAGGATGGAAAACAATATTCCATTCACCAGGACCCCAAAAGAAGGAAGGAACCGCAATTTTATTCTCAAAGTGGACTTCAAGCTGGAATGATAAAAAAAAGAGGCAAAAATCACTACACATTAGTTCAGGGAACAATTCAAAAGGAAGAGATAATTGTAAATATATACTCTTCCAATACTGGTACAATCAACTTCATAAAAAAAATTACTGGACATAAAAGATGAAATAAACATCAGCACAATCATAAAGGACTTCAGTACCCCACTTTCACAAATAGATAAACCAAACAAAAAATTAACATGGAAATATTAGCGTTAATCCACACCTTTGAACAAATGGACTTAGTAAATAACTACCTTCATACAACAGAATATACATTTTCTTAGCAGCACATGAAACTTTCTCCAAAACAGACCACGTAGTAGTCCATAAACGCTGCTTAAATACATACAAAAATTAAAATCATTCTATGTACACTGTAAGATCCTAATGCACTGAAACTAGAAATCAATGGCCAAAGAAACCAGAAATTTTACCACCTGGACATAAAATAACATACTCCTGAACACTTAATGGGTCAAGAAGAATTCAAGGGAGAAATTAATCAATTTCCAGAGTGAAAAAGTAGTGCTAGTACAACATACAAGAGCCTATGGGACGCACTGAAAACAGTCCTAAGAGAGTTTCCTGCTGTGAATAATCACATTAGAAAAACAGACCAAGTTCAAATAATAACCTAATACTGCACCTCAGCATCCCAGAAAAACAAAGACAGTC